GTTGTAGAGCCATAGGGGTCCTAATCGGGAATGGTAGACAGTACTAGAAAGATAAGAAGGTACGGAGTACGGAGCGCAATGTAATAATATGAAATAATAGCCGAAGTGCTATACAGCATATTCCGTACATACGGAGAACTAAAAGCGAAACCCGTTAGAAGTTAAGGAACTCATACTCCGTATATGTATCACATCCCCCAAAGGGTTCTTTCTATTCTTGCATGTCTCAACCACGGCTTTATTTAGTTTGGTAGCACGGGTAAAAACCACGGTTTAGGATGGGTCCTTGATTCGAGATTTTAACCCTGCCGTTTGCATTTTATTTTATTTTTTTATTTTTTATTTCTCATTTTGTTTTATTTTGTTTATTTCTATTTTTTCTATTTTCTTTTTCTTTTCTTTTTTTTTTTGCCATATTTTCTTTTCGGCCCCTGATCCCGTATCACTCTGGCCGTTGTTATCTGGATGCCGTATATATGTGCATATGTGCCTGGCTATGATATATCATATCAGTTTAGAAGGAATGCATATGTTGTACTCCGTAGGATAAACACCTGGGCAGGCTTGTCCTTATTCTGTAATCCCAGCATTCTGGGAACTCGGCTGTCACGCCCTTTTAGTGTGTGTAATCAATACGAATCGGCCATCCCGTTTGACCCTAAATCGACAGAAGCAAAAAAAGAATGGGATAATCTCCTAATGTTATTTTACCTTTGCTATTTATTTTTATTTTCTTTGCTTTTTTTCAATCCTGCCGTCGTTCTCTAGGATCTGCAAACATGCACACACGTGTTGTGACCTAACGTCTTGTTGTTCTCTCTTATTGAGTCATACAGGATTAATGTGCTTGGACCTATGTCGTTTATCATGTCCCAGTTACGGAGTACAGTTTACACGACAAAAAGAAATATTCAAAAAAGAAAAGAAAATATTAAAAAAAAGTCGTTCTCACCGCATCAAGGAACCGTCCCTATGGAGCCTTGGTGGGCCCACGGGAGATTGCCCTTTACCAGTTGTCATCTCGCGTGGTTTCATGATTTACTATACATACAGAGGGGGGGACTTGTGAGACCTGAGCAGAAATTTAATAGCTGCATTAGTTAGGCCATATACCCTGGACTTTTATCTGTATATGTATATAGTGAGGTTGCATGGCATATATGTTTGATTACTATGTCTTATTTCCCTCCACTCTCTTCCTCCACTAGTGGTTCACAGGAAGGCACACAGCGCCACACTAGAAGTATGTTGTAGTGGGGAGCTTCTAGAAAAAAATGGGAAATTTCCATTGGATTTCCCACTTGGGGTTGTATTATTCATCCGGGTTAATTCGAGCAAGTAAATCACAAATTAATTCCCTACGTCAGATCAGGTGGATACTCAGCCTCCTGTTCATGGCAGGGATGTTCGATGGGGATTTTAGGGACTAATTTAGTCTGTTATTAGTGACGGTTGAACGGAAAGGTTGGGGGGAGGGCAGACTTTCATTTCTATAAGAATCCTGCTCCGGTAACCTTTTTCTTCCCCTTCTTCTCTCCATCCACTCAACTCTACACTACACCATATTCTGCTACATATTACTAGCTCCTTGGTCTGTTCCAGTCTGTTGTCAACCTGAACAACTACTATCAACTCTCAACCTTCCAACCCTTCCAACCATTCACAATGCCTTCCGTCGGATCTTCTCAGTTCCCCCCATGCCCCGGTCCTCCTCCTAAGGGCCCTCTGCCTCCGCTGCCGAAATAAACAGTCCACAGTCCCCTCTCCTCAACGAACATGATGACACCGGCGCATTCTGGTCCACCAGATCCGCCCACGACCTGGACCCTTCAGCATGGATATCACGACTTCGGCTTCGACCTAGTTTCGACTCTCACCTGCGAACCTTTGTTTTCGATTCGGACCTTCAACACCTAATTTCCACCATGTCCCACCCAAACAAAAGGACGCCCTTACTTAAAGTTGGGATTGAGATGGACGACACAAAGAGCAACAGCTCTTCCACCGTCTATTCTCGTCTCTTGGCATTTCAATTCAACGATGCGTCGCTAGCCAAAGCTCAATGCGCGCGGTGAAAAACTTGTCCCAAGTGGGCCTCGGACATCTTTTTTTATTCTCTTTCATCTTTGTGCCCTCGCTCTTCAGCAACCTTACTCGCACACTATGGGACCCGGCGCTGGCGCTACTTCCCTCGATGTGCATTAATAGCCTTTCTATTTGCTCTTTGTCTCATTTCACCTCTCCGGCACTATTGATCACGCTCCCCCTGTCTTCTGCGGGGGTTCGTTTCACCTGTTCGATCTTGACCCATCTGTGACGCGCAGATGTGGAGAAGGTGCAGCTGCTCAGCCGCTGCACATTTATTGGACAATCCGAATTTGTCCACAACCCCCTATCTGGGTACCTAGGATGAACTGGGGTTGCCTTCCGATCATCCCGTCGCTCATGCGTCATTGACTTGGGCGCACAGTGCCTTTTTTTTTTTTCTTTTTCTCTTTGTCTGCCGCTGTGACCTGTCATCCTGATTGTTTGGATGCTTTTTTAATTCTTTTTATTTTGGTTCCTTTTCTCTTTTTTCCTTTTCTTTTTCGTTTCTCTCCTGCATCTGGCCGAATCTGAATCGACATGTATCATAGACTTAGTATACCCAACAGAGCAATTTGAATTTTTTTTATCTATTTAAAACGTTTCATTTGATTAATTGCTTACGGTCTATGCATATGTCGTGCATAAACAAGACTGGGGACTGCGGGTGACACCCACCTGACCGCCCGTTTCACTAACCAGCCAGCATCCCGCAGAAAATCACTAGCACCGAAGCTAGCAGGGATGTCACGGAGGGCGGATGTCGCGGTAGTCGAATTGACGCATATTTAACCCGCAAATCAACCAGATACGAGCGATTTAGAATCTACACACCAATATGACTCATTGGTCGGCAATCCAATTTAGTAGACCTGCATATTGTACATGCACTTCTTCCATCATAAGCTCTGAAGTAGCACCGATCTGACGCGATCCTTATCGAGCCTCCCATTATGATTTACAGCGCATTTGCCGGATCCAGTTCAATGCATACCTGCGCGGTCTTTAGGGCTGTATATCGCACATCTCATGTTGCCGCACCGCTCGGGTCGATTGGGTATTATTCCATATTGTACCCGACCCAAACCTGATGTTAAATCACACCATACTATCCAAAACGATTACGTGCATATATACACCCAACACGGGAAGTTGGACGTTTGTCAGTCTAGGATATACCGGCAACATCCCTAGCGTGTATATAATTAGCTCTTAATATCAACTGTTAAATGCTAAATGGCTCAGCGGAGAAATAAGGAAGGAAGATACGAGTTTAGTCCCGTCCGAGCGCTTCGGGATTTGCTAGCCATATTGGTACGTGCCCTATGGAGTACACCTCAGTGCTATTACGACTACAACAAAATGGAGGTTAACCTATTGTGAGTATTTCTAGGTACAGTAGCTGCGCTAACAAATGCTCCATGCTCAACTCTTTTCTTCTAGCCAATTATCAATAGTGCAGCTGAGCAGTGATTTGGATAAACATTTTCGATGCTAATTAGACTAGACTATGATTACAATAGCCTCGAAATGCATACGGGCGTGCCGGGATCCTCGGTGGCCGTTGGCCCGTCACTTGACTGATACAGTTGCATGTTGTCGTCATTGAAGAAATTCCCGACAATCTGTGTCCAATAGATCTCGCAGATAGTGTTCCAAGGTTTCTCCCCCCGCCTCTACCCCTCAACCCGATACACTTCGTCTATCCGTGGTTATCCATGGCTCTTCCATGGATTGTATGAGATTGACTTTTTTTTATTTGTTTTTGTTTGTTTCATTCCACTTATTCCAATATTGGAAGTAAGCTAGGCCATTTTGGCGAGGTCAAGTGACCCAAGTAAGCTTTTGGCCCCAAGGCTCTCGGATCTTGCCCTGACAATCTCCATATTTCATCAAATCAATGAATCATGGAGTTTTGACCTCGATATGTCTCAGGCCCTGGAATGTCTGTGCTCATGAAAAATAACCTTGGAACCTTCCAAGGCACCGTTTCCGGGTTGTGGCTGTCATCCTTGGCTTGCATAGCCACGTGCGCCAAATGAGGTCATTCGCTGGGTATATCGCTCTAATCAGAGATATGGAGTAATCAGAAATGTCCTTATGCAGGTATATGGCCAAGGATTACGTCTTGGGCAGAGACGGACCTTGTGAGAAATAGCGGTATACAACAGATGCGTTGGGCGCCATTGCTGGTTCTCAGCTCTCTGGGCTATGTTACGAGGGGCGGTGAATATTGAGGCTCTTCGTATTCTAGATGCTTTGCGTCGTACGACTGACTCTCGTAGAGCTTTGACGTCAATACATTTTGCCCGGGTTGAGTGAGATTGATGGCCTGAGTACCGGGTCGAGTATACTTTAGGGCCAAAGTGGAAGATATATCCGATTCGTTCCCATGAGAAACCTATACAACATATACCTACTTAGGTAGGCCCTGGGCCATTTGAAATCTATCCCAAACAGGATATCGTTAGCTAATTGTTGATAATTTGGGTGGAATGAAATGGCGTTGCCTAGCTCGTAATTCAAGCCACATGTTGGTCTTTTTTGCTGGTTTTCCAAGAACTTAGGGTCTAGTGCGATACCTTGTCGTAGTCCTATTTATTTCTATTTTGACTCGGGGATGTCGAAGATGGTATTTGGCCGTGGAAGGTACATGTACCTATACATCGTAGTACATATCTAAACGAGAACGAATCATTTTGGAGAATAGAAAGTAACTTATATCGTAATTTTTGAGGAATTTATCAGATATAGACCATATATAACTTGATTGATGTCAATAAACAGATTTTATTTGTAGTCAGTAGAAGCCGAATATCTCCAGGGCTTATATCAAGAAACCGAGGATAAACACACGTGATTCGGGCCCCCAAATCAATCGCGGCTGTCCCTTCTCCTCCAAGGGCAAAGCCACCATGGTTCTACAACTGCATGTATGGGGCCCGGCCTTTTCCCTACCTTCAATTGACGCACAATGCCTTGCTGCAATTGCATACTGTTCCGAGGTCCTCCCTAAAGACTCGTGGGAGCTAATCGCGAGTAGCGATCCTTCTGTGTCCCCAACAGGTTAGTGACGTGACCAGAACAAAAAAAAAAGCACCACCAGAATCAGATAGCTAACAAGTCATTTACGGATAGGTGAGCTCCCTGCCCTCCAGAATGGCTCTGTCTGGGTGAGCCGGTTCCGCAATATTGTGGACTACCTCCGCCAATACTCGGAGGGCGCATGGAACCTGGATCAAAACCTAGACGACGTGCAAAAAGCCGATAGCGTTGCGTACGCACCCCCTACCTCTACAACAGCGCGAGGAACACAAAACACTAACAATCAACTTTCCCTCCAGCTTCTCCTCCTTCATCGAATCCCGCGGCCAATCCCTCATCGACCTCTACCTCTACGTAACCAGTCAGAACTACTATACCAACACATCCCCAGCCTACGGCTCTCTCCTCCAATGGCCAAACCAATGGATCCTCCCACCAAAGCTCCACGCCGCCGCAAAAACCCGCACCGAACACCTCGGCCTATCCTCGCTAGACCTACAAGCAATGGAAGACCAACGCAAACGCGAGCACTCCGCCGCCGTAGCATCCGGCCAAATCCCTAGCAACCTGATCCAGCAGCCCCACGACACAGTCTCCAAACTCCTGGGCCGCACAGCGCAAACCAACCAATTCCGCCTGGAAGCCCTAACAGCCGACTTCTTCGAGCCACTCGAAGCAATGCTCGCCCGCAGCAAGACCTGTCTCCTCCCCGCCGATGACAACAACAACCCCTCCTCGCTGGACTGCGTCGCGCTGGGCTACCTGTCGCTAGCACTCGTACCGGATCTAGCCTTCCCCTGGCTGCGCGACGCGATTCGCGCAAAGGCCCCCTGCTGGCGGCGTACACGGAGCGCATGCGCAGTCGCTGTTTCGGCGACGCGCCTGTCGAGGCTAGGCATGCTTTCCAGCCCACAGTGCCAGCCGCCCTGCCATGGCGCGCACCGGAGCGCATCTCTGTCGCAGCGGTTGGCACTACACTTCTCGGCACATTGGCGGATAACACGCCGTTCTTGCGCGAGGTGCGCCAGAATAGACGGCTGAAGCAGGCCGTTGAGGCTGATTCGGAGTTTAGCTCGGTGGAGAAGCAGGTCCTGTCTTCGTATGCGGATTCTAGTAACAAGGATATGTTGCTTTCTATTGCGACTGCTGTGGCGGGGACGGCTGCTCTCGTTGGTTATATGGTGCATGTGGGTTTGCTTTCTTTTTCGACTGGGGGTGTTGAGGAAGAAGAGCAATTCGAGGAAGATGCGGGTGTATTGCAGATTGATCCTGGGTCTGCTTCTGACTTCCTCGGCGCCTTCTAAGCCTTGAAGAGGTCATTGTGTCTGGTTCCGTGGATATTACGGGGTCGGTATTTTATTTTACTATTTGGGTGGAAGCGAAGACTGTACGATAGCATTGCGTTTTTTGTCCTTTGTACTTGTGTGTTGACGTACCCATGGTTCCGAGCCACATTAAAATGCAGGTCTTTGATCTGATCCTCTACTTGAAATATCTCCTTTGTTAGCTTTATAATCGAACTCGAGAAAGAATCTAAGATTTCTTTGCTGGTGATAATTAGTTTAGGGCCCCAAGAAAACCTTGGAAGTATCCATCTTCGGTAGATATCACTGTATGTACCCTGGCATTCCTCTGAAACCTAATGTCGACTTGACGTCTCGTATATTCGATCACTGGAAGTTTACCTGCCCAAATGGTGTCATAGTAGTGACTTGCGCATGAAAGCTTTTGACCTGTCTGTCTAGAAGGTCAAAAATTTAGATCCATCGGTCAATATGCCAACCCCATGACGGAAACACACATGGGATGGTTTTTAGTTTGACATCTTATATTATTTAAGGGAATGTCATATCTGGACTGCAATACATACAATATAGCGCCGAAATATCATATGCATATCACCTTTGAGTAGGTGAGACTTGGTAATAGATAGGGGTTTGTTTCAGGTTTATGACTGACGAACGGGAGTCAGCACTGATGGTCCTGTGGGATCAAATAGGCCGGGAATAGTGGATGAAACATTGGAATGATATATTTAGAATATCCATAGGTATCAGCGCTTAATGATAAATACAACAAATTTATGTATACACAGTAACAGAGCTAGTTTTGGATGAAAATAAAAAGGAGAACGATATCAACTCTCAAATCAGATGGTTCAGATGGTATATGTACAGAGAAAAAGACAGAAGCAGGCAAATCATGACAAAGATATGTATGAACCCTTTAACGGCAAAAAAGGGTAGCCGTCAAAGAGCCGCTCGAAGATGGAAGGATGTGTGGCCAGGATGGTTGCTGGGGCAAGCGACCTGCGCACGCACACATCAAATCAGGGGAAAGATACAAAGACACCTTCGGCGTTGAACCATTTGCGCAAGAAAGACAAAATCCCAGTAGAGACGAGAAGATCGCTAGAAGTGGGAAGGAGAAAAAAAAAAAAGACGGCGTGGCCATTTAAGAGGACCAGCCAAGGTTGACAACAAGACGAACGGGGCCGGCGGACTGGGCAACAGCCTTGTCGGGCTTACCCTGGTCGGCGGAGGTGTAGGCGTTGACAACGCTGGCGGCGCCAGCGGAGATGGAGGAGCACTTCTCACCCTCGTGGTTGCAGATCTGCATACCGGCAATGTCCAGGTCGGCGAGCTGAGCGATAATGCAGGAGACGTCCCAGCCGGAGTAGCCATCGTTCTGGGAGTTGCTCATGTCGAACTCACCCCAGGTGGAAGCGTACTCGCCGACGTAGTTGGTGGGGAGACCTTCACCCTCAGCGGCACCCCAACCACCCTGGGAGTTGTCATCGATGGCAACAAAGATGCTGTGACCGGGCTCAACGGTGAAGCCCAGAGCCTTGTTGGGGCTCCAGAAACCGTTCAGACCGCCGCTGGGGCCGTACGAGTTCCACATGACGACGGTCCAGGCCTTGGAGTTGTCGTTCTCGAAGCGGATAACGTGCTTGTACTGGCTGGCGACGTCCTCTTCGACACGGATGATGTTGCTACCCCAGGGGCTGCCGACATTGCCGATGTAGTCCCAGTCGAGGGTACCAACGCGCTTGCTGGCAGTGGAGGCACCGAATCCGGTGGTGGAGTACTCGCCGTTGGAGGGGTAGCTAGCCCAGTTGCTGGAACTAGAAGAGCTGGAGCTGGAGGAGCTGGAGGAGCTGGAGGCGACGGGGGTGGCACTGACGGAGGAGATGGCCTCAACGGATGTGGTGGCCTCGGCGGTGGCAGTGGCGGTAGAAGTGGGAGTAGCGGTAGACTCGGCGACCGAGGAAGAATCAGAGTCGCCGAACCAGTTGTTGATCCAGGAGACGAGCTTGCCATCGATGACAGCGGTAACCTCCTCACCACGCTTCTCGACATCCTCAACCTGGGCGGGAGCAGTCACGGCGGGCTCGACAACCTTGACGTCTCTGGGGTGGGCGTGACGGCGGTCGTGGCCGTGAAGACGAGCGACAGCCGACCCAGCGGTCAGCGCCGTCATCAACAGCATAGATTTGGAGAAATGCATTTTGGGGAATTGAACTTGAAAAAGGAGTGACTTGAGCGAAAGCTCTAGAGAAGAAAATTCAATTCAAATGAATGTGTGTGAGAGATGAAGAGAGAAGAAGAAAGTGGACTAGGGGGGACTATTAGTACAATACCAAGTTACACACCAACGGGTCAGGACTGGACCTGAACCCAAAAACGAAAAGGGATCCACCAGGGCAGAATATCAGGGGCACTCGATTGATGATTGGGTGGTTCCTGGCAGTTCCTGGCCGTGCGTATTTTTCCCTTTGTTTGATTGGTTGGCTTTCATGGGCCCAGACTCTATTCCCTTGGTATTGTGTACTTGGCTATACTATGCCTCTCATCGCGGCTGTGCAGGTACTCGTTACTTGGGGATAAGGGGGTTTTCCAAGGATATTTCTCCTATTCTGCTCTTATTTTATGTTCTATTATTATGATTCCTATTATTGGGATTCATATTGTTCTACGGAGTATGCCTAGGTACCTAGGTAGTTGCCTGATGTCAAACACGTGTACGATCGGAATGCTAGATACCTCGACATGAGATGACTCGACTTCATCACAGCCCAACATCTAGTTATGTTGTATGAGTCTTAATATGACCAATATGACCAATCTGACCAACGTTTCTGTATAATATACGCTGTACATTCAAACTTACACATGTGGACTTTAAGACAACTTCTATCCCCATCATCCGAAATTCCCCACATACACCAATCGGCGAAGTGCACAGCAAGGATCTAAACTGTCTTACGAATCCAAAGGCAATCTTAAATGGGGACAACTCATCACCGCGTCGACGAAAACTACGTGGACAATAGTCAACTGACATTTGGTAGCCATGTCCCTACCCAACTGATATCCGACAGATTACATTACACTCCCTGTTACAGTTAATAAGGATTGTCCTCACCGTATCAGTTGTATCCACGGATGTGCAGATAGGAAGGCGAATCTCTGCCGTTGATCTGCGGCCAGACCCCCCTACGCGGTCGATGGATCCTCGATATTTTTTTCTGTAAGGCACCCCCCATTTTGTTGTATTTACTGGGTAGCGTCCAAGCCATTCTCCACCCACATGACGAGTCTCTTTCCCGGTTGTCTCCATATAATGGCACGCCGGACCTGGCACCCCGAGAATCCAGGCCTTCGAATTCGGCAAACTGGGGCTGGATGCCCGTGAGGCGGTTTCATGTGTTTAGTCTCACTAAAACTTTAAGCGCGCTTGGCTTCTCAAAGGCTCCATATGTTGTACGGAGTGCAATATTGGCCTCCGTATATATCGTATATTATATGCTCGGTATATGACCGGTACTCTGTATACGAGGCTATATTTTGTTGCCACAGGCGTTTCCTGAAACATTAGGGCTATTTGTGCAGGAACCCGTCCCTGGCAAACTCCTCACTTGATGCAGGTACCCAGACCCTTGAATACACTCACTTTCATCACTCTGAATATTTTAGACCCTCTTCACTCTTGAAACCCGACCCCTAGTGTAGAAAAGTGTAGAAAATTGGGGTCGTAAATAAACAAAACCAAGGTCGGTCCGGGATGATCCTTGGTTCGGTCGATCTGCAACATGTCTTATTGGCTGTGGGAAATTAAATCTGCCTGTCAATTACCCTAACCAAAGAAAAACCACATGGCTCTATACATTTCAACGGTAAATTTGATTAGACCCGAATAATTCAAATTCTTCAAAGAATCAACTACTTCCTAATAATGAACGTGGGTGGATGAGAAAATCGAACTCTACGACTGGTGGAGACGATCCTACCTATGCACAGACCGATATTCCAAAGAGGAAGCTGCCAGTGCCTTCACACACACACAAAAATCGACTTTGACAAATATATATACCGTCGAGGCACTAACTGTGCCCGTACCGGGTATAGCAGGTGGCGGTACTCCGTTCATTTCTTCCCCATATCCACGCCACCCTCAAACGCCACACCACCAGCAGCCGCATCCACCATAAGGCTATCATCTAGCCCACAGACCCTGAACAACATCTGGGGCGTTAACTCTTTATCAAGACCAGGCAAGCCATCATGCTTCAATTTCTCCAATCCCTCCCGCATAGCCAGGAGAGCCGGGCCCAAAGTCGCAAAAGGAAAGATGATAATACGGAACCCAATCTCCTTCGCCTCTTTCGCAGAAATCGAAGGCGTGGACCCATGCTCCACCATATTCAATAGCAGAGGCCACGGCGCAAGGTCGGCCACAACCCGGCGAGCCATTTCCCGGGATGATATGCCCTCTAAGAACCCGACATCCGCGCCCGCCTCTCTCGCCGCCCGCAGACGCGCCAAGCTCTCTTCATAGCCGTGCTGCTGCAACGAGTCCGTCCGCGCAATGATCACGATATCACTGCCGATGCGTTCGCGCGCTTGCACAGCTGCCCGGATGCGGCTGGTGTAGGTTGTCGTATCGACGAGCTGCTTGCCGAAGAGATGCCCGCACCGCTTGGTCTGTACCTGATCCTCGATGTGGAAGGCCGCTACGCCGGACCGTGCGTATTGTTCTGTCGTACGGGCTACCATGATCGGCCCACCGTAGCCGGTGTCGGCGTCGGCGATCAGCGGTGTGCGCGGTGAGAGGTTTGCTAGCATTTCCGCGTTCGCTCGCATGTCGTTCAGTGTGCAGATTCCGAGGTCCGCTTGGCCATGTACCGAGGCCGCTGTTCCGGCGCCTGTCTGATTTGTGGTGTCAGCTCGGGGATTTTGGCGGGGATGCCTCGATCTCTTGCATTGCATACCATGTATAGTGCGTCGAAGCCTGCGGCCAG